TTAAATTATCAAAACCCCATTCCACCCTCCCTTCAAACTAGAAACAGTTTCAAGTAGCATCAAGCACAACAAAGACTAGTACAGATCTAAATCAGAGGAAAAGAGTCCCCAGAGGACAAGCTATGCAAGGGCACTGAACATCCTACCAAGTGCCAGAACCGGATGGGGAAAGCAGACAGAAACAGCTATTACAAAAAAAAAAAAAAGGAAAGAAACTGGAAGGGCAGCCTGACAAAAGATCTTCAAACCAAATAAAGGGTGCCCAACAAGACCAAGAGAACAGACAAGCTACACTAAGTAAGATTTCTGTGAGGCCCTCCTCTCAGGGATCATTAGGGAGGCCAAACAGCTTCACAGTTCCAGCTTCTCGGCTGCTGTCGTATTTCCCATCTTTGTCATCACAGGCAAATGCTAGCAGAGGCCTTTTGGGGTGCCAGGCCACAGTGAAGGTTGGGGACTCACACTGCACCTCCCATAGCTTGTCTCCTACAGAAATCAATATAAAGAAATCAATCAGTGTTAATGATACAAGGCCACATTCACTAGGTACTTAGCTCTATTAATTCACGTAAACCACCTACTATCCTATGAAATAGGTACAATCATTACCTCATTTTATAGACACAAAGACATAAGTCACAAGCCAGGTCTTAAACACCTCTCATCAGAATCCTATTTCATATGCCAGAAAAACAGTAACAGCAGCTACCATTTGCTGAATATATTAACTATCATACAGTTTACATTTTATTGAATATCAGTAAAACGTATTATCCTCCCAGTAAGACAGATAATAATTTTTAAACTCTATTAGTAATAGTAAACTAGTGACTTAACAGTGTCACATCTCATGGAAACAGATAGTACAGTTGATCTATCACCAAAGAAACAGATAGCAAATCACAATGCATTTCAAATAGTTTTTCCCCCACAAATTTTCTTTTCCCAGGCTGCAGATATGTATGTCTCAAGGGTATAACACTTGCCTAGCATGCTCCAGGTCTTGGGCTTAATAACCAGCATAACAAAAAAAGTTTTGTCTGGTTTGCTGAAACCATGTATTGACTTTCTCAATGCTGTTATACTTTTAGTTCTGCTTACTTTTTTTTGTATTTTAGGGAAGGGAACTTACTTTTTTTTAATGTTAGAGTTAAGATCAATGTAATCAAATGCCTATAATATTGTCAAACTTGTGCAAATTCTATCTCAAAGCTATTTTTTAAAAAATGTGTGTGCATGTCTATGTGTTAATAAATTTTTTTAAGTAACTGATTTCAGAGACAGTTGATATTTTTCCTAACAAATCACTCTCCAAGATAAGAGTCTGGCTATTTACAACTCTTTGTCTGAACGAATTTGAATTATGTGGAGAAAAAGAATGGTTTTGGGGGGGCCTGCCCATTAGCTCAGGTGTTTAAGCGCCTGCTGAAACAAAGCAGTCAGGCTCAGGATACGGTCGTTGGATACCCTCATCCTCAAGCCAAACCAGACCTGCCCTTAAGGCATCCTGAGTGGCTCCCCCCGAAAAAAAAATGATTTAATGGGGGCCAGGAAGATGGCTCAGTAGAATAAGTGCTTCCCCGGCAAGCGCAAGGGTCTGAATTCAATCCCTGGTTCCAAAAAAAAAAAAAAAAATGGTTTAATGGTTTCTCAAGATGCTACACCTCTTTCATTTCTCCATAGGCCTTTAATGCCACATCATTTGTTATGGGATTTGTTAAGATAAAAAAAAAATTACACAATTCAATGAAACCAAAGTAGACATGAAGAGGCCTCTTAAAAAATATTCCCAAATAACTGCATAGCTCTATAAGCTTAACATACTGATAATTTATTAGAAAGCATGAATGATACACATGGTGCTATGTGAGACTGACATTATCATTCCAGACCACCAAAATTTAAATAGACTGATGCAATGTGTATGCTGTCTGAAAAACTCGCCTAACTGAACCATATTAAAATGAGCTTCTAAACATGAAAAGCATAGAATTCTTTATCCTATTTTTAAAATATAATTTAATTTTTTAATGTTTTTTATCATATTATGTAGGGACTTAAAGTTC